GAGATACACTTAGGGTACATGTTACTGGTACATTCATTCTTTTATGCCAGGTGCATAGGGAACATGCAGTTTGTATACTAAACAAAACAAGCATACAGCAGAAATTTGTCACTTAGACAGCTCTACTGGAACTCTTGTCTCCAATAACGTGGGTATTTCCAAAATGTAAACATGTATTTGAAACTGAATACTCTTACTGAAAAGTGTGCTTGACTATTTAGTGACACTGCAAAGTATGTATGCTTTGAATTGCTAGTCAGCCATATACCAGCTGCACGAAACTATGGCAGACCAGAAGAAAGTGCCCTTTACAGACAAGTTTAAAGTCAATGTTTTTTTCATTTCTTCCTTTCTTTGAAAGGTGGTTGAATCAAAGTGCCTCTAGGGTGTAGAGAAATGGGACTGTCCTTTTTTTTTTTTAAAGCTTGGTAATTAAATGATTTGAAATCATTGTGAAGAATCAGAATCATTTAGGTTGGAAAACACCTTTAAGATCATCAAGTCCAACCGTTAACCCCACACTGCCAGGTCTACCACTAAACCATGTCCCTATCAGTTCTTCCTCTATATATCCTTTAAACTAGGTTAGATGATATTGATAACTTCCTCTAAATCTAACAGGATAGATATTTTAGTGATAAGCCTCAATAACTTTGAAGAAGGAAACTAGAAGCCCAAATACCAACACTCAGATAAGAACACTGAGTCCAAACTAATATTAGATAGATAAATGAAACTAAAGGATAGATGAAAAACCATCTACCCATTCCCACAGACTTCACTTCCATGGCCACTTCAAACTCACAAAACACCTCCATTCTTGTATGGACAAGAAGTAAGAATCCAAAGGAGCTGAAGACATCTCCATTTCAAACATCTAACAAAGACCAAAGAGACTGCTTAATCACTATCCCATTCTAGACCAATTGATTAACTTTGAAATCTTACACACTGTTCAAGAAATCAGGTCTGAATATGTCTCAGTTAACTGCCTGCACACCCTAGGATGAATTTCATAGAGTACAAGAATTCTATTGCAGAAACAGGAAAAACAAAAATCCATTAAAATGAATGTGTCTTTGGGTTGATTTTGCAATCATCAGAAATACTTGAAAATGCTGCAGATTTATATCCTAGGTTTTGATTGATGGGGCTTAGTGCGGTTATACAGAACAAATGTGTACAGCTGCAATTAACAAAAAAAAATCAAATATGCAATGCAACCACAGGGAGTTGAGACTGTTTATCACTAGTGGTAAACGTATTCCTTACCTCAAATGTCCACTCCTCTTCTTTTTCTCCATCCAGAAGCATTTTTGTCTGCTTATATACCTTCCCTATTTCCAGTTGCAATGGGGACACAATAAACTCAATTCTTTGCAAGTTAAAGCCAATTCCAACTCCAATAGCCTTTAAGTAGCTTTCCTTTAAGGCCTAAAACACACAATAAATGCATTTTATTCATACTGGTTGTTTTAAAACTGTTCTACAAACACTACTTCTGAATACATGCTGTAGACAGAATAAATTTAAGACTCATACTACTGTAAATGTGAGTGTAGACTGATGCAATTATCAAGAGAAAAAGTTATCAGCATTGTTATTACTAAGCCTAACTTGCTGCACTAAAACAAACATGCAGTGGAATTAACCAGCGGCATATACAGATAGGAACCCTTTACCCTGTTCAGGATATGTGTTTAATACTAGTAATAAATCCTCCTGGAAATGTCAGCTCTACTATGCTTCTCAAAGCTACTGTGATATTAAATGAAAATCAATACACAATAAAATCCATTAAAATTTTATCTCCGCATGAAATGGTCTCAAGTTGCCCCACTAGATGTTTAGATTGGATATTAGGAAAACTTTCTTCACCAAACAGGTTTTCAAGCACTGGAACTGATTGCCCAGGGAAGTGGCTGAGTCACAATCCCTAGAGATCTTTAGAAGATGCTCAGATGTGGTGCTTAGGGACAAGGTTTAGTGGTGCATGTGATGATCTCAGGTCTTTTCCAACCTAAACCACTCTATGATTCTATGCAACTATAAAAAGTACACATTTTTACCATAATGAAAATAAAAAATTATCTCAAAAAAGTATGTGCAGGTTTGCAGACTTTAAATAGGAAAAAAATATTACCCAATGCCGATAAAACATGTCCAGCTGCATCCATTCATTACTCATAGACTTGATTATACCCCACTCTGTTTCGGTAAACTGTCGCTTCATGATGTGAAAGAAATTTGGAACTGAGCTACTACCTATAAATTAGACAGAGATATTTATGGAAATTTCAATAGAGTTATAATGATAAGCAAATGTATTACCTCATATTATTGCTCTAGAAAAAACTCGTAGGAAAAGAATTTATGAACCAACTCTGCTCTACAACTTGAATTCATATAGCCTCAAAACAGTGAGCTGATGACTGTTCAGGACAATATGAAATTCCAATAGCAAAATCACTGCATTAAAAATGTGAAATGAAATTCAAACATAATATGTATTTTCAGCAGTCTCTAAAAAGCAAAGTATATAAGCAGTGCTGATTTTATAGTAAAAAAATAAATTATATTCAGCTATGAAAGTAGCATATACAGTCTCTGGCATCTGACAGCTTGATCTAGTATAGTAACATTTTACAAAACAGCATGCTGTTTGTCAAAATTCATCAAGCTATTCCGCCTCCTGCCCGTGAATGCTGGGATACAAACGAAACACATTTTTAAGCACTGGTAGAAATGCAATCTCCCAAATGTATCACACACATATTACGCATTTTGGATTGGATTTATCCTGCAAGAAAAATGGGTGTAGAGAGATGCCCACAACAACCGTAAGAAATATACCAAGGAAAAAAAATCCCCCAAAAGTTCCCAACCACAAGCCAACAAACTTTCAAATACTTAGATGAAATGTGAGTCCTCTAAAGATAAGCACAGCTGTGTAGCACTGCAGCAGCTCTTCAGGGGCTACACCACTTTTCCTCACTAGTATAAAATTTAGTTTGTAGAAGATATTACTGTGTGGTTTTATTGATCAATGGCATTTCTATAATACACTGGAAGCTATGGACCTCATTACATGCTTGACTACTCACCCACAGGCTGTATCAATCAGCATACCATGCAATCTGTCCCATTGGGCTTACAGCTGGCTAAACAGATAATGGCAGAAAACAATCTATTTTCTTTAGTAGGGATAATAAAAATCTGGATAGGAGCAACTCCATATATTGAAACAAATTTTTTTTCATAGGTTATGCAATGTTCTTTTTAAAAAGAAAATATTCATCATACTTAATCCAAACCAGTCTCCCCTCCCAACACCACACTACTTTGAAGAATCCATCACTAAACAACTGCTTAATGAAGATGCAGAATCTAACCATAGCTGCACCAGTAATTGTGAGTTGACTGTGGGCAATATCGATACACACACATTCTGGGACTATGTCCTTTCACATCATGATATCCTACTGTAGTTTGAATTCACCAAACAACAGAGTTCCCTGTAATGGCAGAAGCCAGGACACTACACAGAACCCTGTCCCAGAACACAAATCTTGCAGCTAGATGCAGAAAGAATGTCCCTTATAATTTTCACACTTAAAACTTCCCTACTTCTGTTTATACACCATCTCATCTTTCCCTCTTTTCCCCCTTCAAAATGAAGCCTAAAAAACCCTACACAATGACAGAAGAAGAATTAGTGTTTTAAATTTGGGAATCAATCTCTCCTATGTAACAGTGTAAGAATTTTCTTTTAAAAAACCCCAACAAATCTTATAAAGCCATTTGTTTGGATGGACAGTAACTGAAATACTGTTTGGCCCACTGGACAGCTAAAATCCAGCATGTTTTGTCTGGTCATCCCACAAGAGAACTGACAGCAGTCAGCTAGTCACTGGCATGTTGTCCCCTCATATCCTTTCCCCTATCCACACACAAATCAAGTTCTGCCACTGCAGGAGCTGTCTTTTAGCCAGCCAAAAGGCTATACAAGAAAAGATGCAAGAGGAAGATAAATGTACTGCAACATGGCAAAAGCAGAGCATTAGCCACAGCTGAAAAATTGATGAACTTCAATGGTTTATTCACTTGTATCAGTTTTATCTACTCTTGTAGACAGTATCTCCAAGTATTTGCTTTGTTTTGATTAAATTGGTTTTTAATAGAAAAAAAAGAGGATATACATCTTTAATACAAAACCCAACAAGTCGATGAACAAACAGGAAAACTACACAGGGCAAATAACAAGTTTTTAATGCACTACAAGATTCCATTTTCCATCAAAATGCAAAACAGCTCATAACAGCCATGAATGCCTAAAACATACAGCACCAACCCAAAGGCAAGAAAACAGCCACTTACGAAAGTAGCAAGAGTCTCCTGGTTCTAAACCTTCCTGAAAACCTGACATGACAACAGCAACCTGCCACCTGCACTGAGGTGCTGAAAATAAGAATTTCTCTTAGGAAGGAAATACATCAGGGCAATGCAGCTGAGGCTAGTTTTCTACAGTTACTGAGGATAGATGTGAAACATTTGAGACAAGGTTTTCATAAATCAGTCTAAAAATCTGCAAGTCTGCCACTAAAACAGTCTCCCAACCCTGAAATCAGTAAGAGCTCCAAACATTAATACTTGCACAGAAAACAACCAAATAAGCTTTTTTGACAACACAGAATAGAGACAGTTTCTATTTTGCAACTCTTGCAACAAATGTATCTGTAGAGCTGAAGCTATTGGAAATGGGCAGTGTTAGCAAGAAACTACTCAAAAAGCAAAAGTTTAATACCTACATAGTAGTAACTTAACCTTAGCTCTTCTGCCACATTCTTCTGCTAGACTTTCTTAACTTCGAAAGCCAAAGCTAACTGTCATTAGTGTGGGCTGAGAAGTACATTTAGTTCTGTTAAAAAAAAATCAATTCTATTTAGCAGCTCCCTGTGAATATGTAACTTAATTTCACAAAAGAGCAATTAAGGAATAAACTGTGGTTATTGTAAACTCAGTGTGCAGGAGGAAAAAAAACACACAACATCAAAATCTCAAAACAATCAGACGAGTATTCTTATAGCTTCTCTTTGTTCTACCTCTTATTTTTACTAAAAGCTCCGGTTTAAATTTTTTGTTTTTCTATTGTTAACTTATCCCTCATTTTAAACATATCTACTCTCCACAAGTTAATTTTTGCTGTGCTGCATTTTGCTATCAGTTTATATTTTAATCCAAATGGGTTTATGCTTTCTATTAAAGAACAGTCATAAGGGATTAAGATTTGCTACATAATATGTACTCTTTCAGAGTATGTTTAAGATGGCTGTTTCTTCCCAGTTTCAAACAGAAGAAATGCCTCCCTGTTCACACAGTGTAAGTGCATATGACCACTGATTCTTTAGTTCAACAAGGATCTCAGTTGTTTTAACACTCCTTCACATCTAAAAAATATGTGCTTACATATTTCTAAATTCTGACTTCTTTAATCAATTAGAAGTAACATTTAAATCAAATCCTTTGTTAATATCTTCAACCCAAGCAGTACATCTGCATATCTATAGCTGTAATATTAGCTAAGAATTCGGTAATTATCTCTTGAATAAAAGATTAGATGCTGATTGCTGCTATGAGATTTAGTGAAACACAACAATAAAACCAAAAACAATTAAAACTTTGTTTAAGGTAAAGTTAAAGCACCGTAAGGACAAAATCACTCCAAAGCACAGTCTGGTTTGGTCATCCTTTTTCAGTTTGGAAATTCTAACTGAAAAAAGCTGAAAAGCAGCAATTAAAAAGGTATTGCAAATTCAAGAACTTCAACATGGCTCCTAGCTAAAAGACAAGCCAAGTATCTTAATAATATGTGTCCAATTCTCAATTTAGCTTATGGCTACCAAAATAAACAACATAAAGTCTATAACTGAAGAGAGCTTTCCTCCACTTAGCTACACTGAAGCATGGTATTTAGCTTCTTAGCATGGAGACTTGGGTCACATGTGAATCAGAGTATCTGTCTCTGATCTAAAGATCTCTATCATCTCTTGCATTCTCACCTCAATGATGAAATAAGGAAACTAAAACGAGAAAGATTAGCTTTATTGTGTTTATATCTCTTTGCCTCAGAGAAAAACAGTTTCAAACAATCAGGTATTTGTATATATTAGTCTACTTTCTTAAAAAGCATTTTATGGAGTATTTTTAGATCAAATTAACTTTTCTGTAGAATTCATATGCAGAAAATGTGTTGTGTGTCAAAAAGCAAGCCTAACACAAAATCAAAATATTAATGAGAAAAGCTAATTTTATTGCATGTCAAATACTCAATTCTGGAATGACACTGAGATTAGAGATGCCCAGATCAAAGTAAACACAGTGTGATAGGTAAGAGAGATTGCTGGGTGGTTATGAAAGACACAGAATGAACTGTTAATTTATTTACCTTTGCAATTCCACCTAAGCTAATAAATGGTATTAGTGAAAAGAAATTCACCTGCACAGCAGGAAAGCTCTTGAACCTAAGATACAAACTTTTTCCAAATGCTCAAGGCAATCTTTACTGAGCTACATTTATTTCCTAAGTCTCTGAAAATGTTCTACTTTACAATGTTTAAGTGACTAGTAAATCAACATCCCACACACTACTTAAACCAAGCTGACACTGGTTGCAAAATTCCTTGTCCCTAAGTTAAAAATCAAGCACAAGCTGAGTTTTTCCACAGGAGCTAGTAGTACTGTGAGAATCCATCTCATCTCTTTTGTGAAAGGCTTAAAATAATTTCAAATGCATTACCTCTCTGGCCAAATAATATCCACAGATACTTCTACTACCAAACTTACAGTACAGTGTGCATTTTCCCAAATGACTCAATAGTTCCTCTTAAACTGATCTAGAGAAGAAAACAATCAATGATCTCAGTAATTTTTAAAAAACAACTCAATTGAAAGACTAGTTTAAATCTACAACAATAACCTGCCAGATAATCAAAAGGCAACAACACACAATACCTGAAGAGGAAATTTTCCTTTTCTACCATCACTACAGTATTTAGTTCAATATCTGAACAGAGGAAAAAAAGATGATAAATTGTTGCAGTGAAACTTTTGTAGAAGTGCCTCTATCTGCAGTGCTAAGAATACCTTCTTGTGTTGCCTGGCTTCACCTTTGAAGAAGCCTGCCTTGTACTAGTTTCATTTTAACAATGAAGTGCAAATAATATGCAAAGAAGCAGCTTCTTATTGTTTACAAGTAAAACAAAAATAGATGGCACATATTTAAGAAATGACATAGAACATTTACGTCCACCAGGACTCTTTGTTATATACCAGCACACAATTAAATAGTAGATTTCTCAAAACTTCCAGTTGCATCATACTCTTGTGTATCTGCACTGCACGTTTTGCATGTTCACTGGTTGAGCAACAATCAAAGAATGTAAGAACTAGAATATTGGAGATCTCAATCGTCTGTTGGATAACATCACAAGATTAAGTACTTTGTATTTAAACAAGCACTTGGAAAAAACCACAAACAAACCTACTGTAACATACTTTGTACATAAGAAACTATTTGTCCTTGTAGCTGTTCCAGAGAAAATTTATGGTAGATTCACCCTCAGAAACAGTATGTACTTAGCAACAGTAGACCAAGAGCACCACTCAGTGGAACTGTCAGAGAAGACAATACTGGCAAAGTCACTGTTGCATATTCCTAGCACAGCAATTAAAAAATACAAGTATCAGGTTCTACGAAGACAAAAAACTCTCAAAAAAACCTCAGGTGAAAATACTAGCTTTAAATTATAGTCTCTGTAATATGAACTAAAGTTAGTATTACTTATTGCTGGCTCACTTTCCCACATACAATTATTAAGGTTTCATTAATATATTTCTTTTTCAAAAATAGAAATAATAATTACAAAAAATACAGACCATCTTTAATGCCACCATTCAGTCTCTGGAATCACCAGCATCTTTGGAATAACCACCATTCCCTCCCCTCCCCCAGGTAAAAACACTGAAGCCTGTCTGTATCAGATCTCAAAGCATTACTTAGTCTTCAGACTTCAGAAATAGAGTTGAACATATTTTCATAAAACTTGTTGGCTGGACATCAACAATGTGTCTGTAAAATGCCAGCTACGTTTCCAGCTGCATACAATACCAGCAGAGGATGCAAGATATCCCTGCTTCCATTTATAAAGTTTTCAACTACTCTGTATAAATTTCAGTTTTGCACTTGCCCAGAAAAGCTTAAAATGCAAACATTTTAACCTTTTGATTTTTCACTATTTACCTGCTGAAACAGAAAAGCTTTTCTAAATGAGTATTTAGAGAGTCTTGTGTCAAGGGCTGTGGCAGCCCAGCAAAAGTGTTTCCAAGGGTTCTGAGTCCAGGTGGTAAACTTTTTCATAGCAGCCGGTGCAGCACTGTGTTTCAGACCTGTGCCTAAACCAGTATTGATACCACATCAGTGTCAGCAGTGTTTGCATAGCATCAAGGCCTTCTCTGTAACTCTGCTCCACCAGCAAATAGGTTGAGTGAGTGCAAGACATTGTGAGGAGACAGCCAGGACATCGCTTTTCTTTGCCTGGGAGAGCTATGGTAACAGCACCAGCTTCAAGCGTAATCTGGTTATTTGGGCCTTGTGTTACTGCAGTCCCTTCAGGGGTGCCCCTGTTCCAATGCAGCCTCACCCATTAGCCACAATTCCTGCCACAAAATATACAACTGTTCTGGTCCCCCACAGGCCTTACGTGCTGACCACCATGTGTACAGTGAGGGTCTGCAGTAGGTGGAAATGAGTCACAAAAAAGAGCTTCACTTTGGATTGCAGTAAAGTTTCTGTGCATCTTAGCTAAACATGCCAATCCAAAAATGTACACTTGTAGTAATCATTAAAAAGGTGTAAAGAAATCAGAAAGTCATCCAGTCAGGGTTTATTTGAATCTCTACCTTACAAAACAAAGTACTTCATAGCATAGAATGCTGAGCAACTTGAGGATTATCAAGAAAGATTCTGTATGAATACAACTACTACTGTCCTAGCTGAACATTTGAAGAAGATTCTCAAGAACTAAAATTCAGTAATTCATAAATCCCAGTATGTTTATCCTTTAACCCAGTCATACACAGATGAGCATTTCTGAAGTAAATAATCTCCAAGAAACTGTATTTAAAAATACACTTTGCTATAATTCTAATTTACATTGATGTTCACTAATCTATACAGTCATTTCGTACATATAAATAGGCCAATAACCACACATTCACAACCAACCTGTGTTGCCAGTTTGTTGACACAAAGTGTCCACACTTATGGGACAAGTGAGTTACACTCACTGTCTAGAAAGTTCTCATGGGGATGTATCCCACTGTCCCTATTTGGAAAGTTGCCCCTGCTTCTACCTAACAGACAGCAAATCCATAATTAAAGTATCTGCAGATGTTGGTCCTATCAATATCATAGAAGGATTTATTTTTCCAGGGTTCTGCTTTTCTAAACAGGAAATATATTTATGTGCGTCATAATAAAACCCCAAAATAAACGATGAGGAGTACATTTAACAATAAAAATGCCAAATACACAATACATTCATATACTATCTTCTAATTACACTGAATTGCTAGCTTGTTTGGGTAACATGAAAATGTTCAGTACTCTACACTACAGAATCTGTTTTGGTCACCATAATACATTACCTGGCAAATCAGTCTTCATAATATCAATGCCAACTTGAAGCTCAGGCTCAGCTGCAAGGACTGCATAATCTCCTTGATGAGAGATATTGAAGTTATAGTTTGAATGGACACTGTGCAAGCTATTAGCCAGGAAAGGTTTTCCCTTTGATGTCCTTTGCAAATGTACTTCATTCCAAGGTATGCACAACTTTTCTGCAATTAATTTCCGCATCAGCAGGCGACCAGCCTGTGAAATAAAACACAAGTGATTCACACAGAACTATTAGGCTACATGCAAAATATCCATGGTCACTAGAAAACCATCTGCCTCAAAAAATGTGGCTGCGTTATTGTTGATACCAAGTAAGTAATTTTTATCCATATAATTTAGAGTTCTTCCTTTCATAAAAGCATGTGCAAATTTAAGCTAAAGAGTTTGCCAGACCCAAGCATCAAATACACTTACTATCACTATTTGCACAAAGGCAAGTCCCAAAAGCAGTCCCTGTCTAAATGAATCACACAAATAGTTCCTTCCTCTACCTTATTTCCTTACTTAGGATACTTTATGGCACAGATGAATGCTTTTCACACTACCCTGGACCCTAACATGATCTGAAAAGGAACTTCCTTTCAGTACATCCATTCCATTAGGCACTAAGTGAAATACTAAACTGCTAAAGATGATGAGTAACTTCTTCCAGACTAATTATCAGGTCTGTGTTACTACCACATTGCTATGCAAGATTTAAAACCTGAATCATGTAAACCAGCTTTGCTCTCTTACACATCACACTCCTGCTTTATGTATTCCAATTTTCGTCTCCTAACTTCACATTAAGCCAGAACTTGTGAAGTCCTTCAGAGTAACTACCAACAGCAGGCTGCAATGCGAAAATCCCTTTTTCCTCCTCGGTGAGGAGGCAAGAGCTGGCAACTTGTACATTACGATGCATTTAGTTCCCCGAGATGCCCTTGCAGGGCCTGTTTTCTACGAGAAGTCAGAAATTTTTGCAAAGCTCAGTGTGCCGAGAGACAGTCGCGTCCCCGCGGGACAGGGGCGGCCCCGTGGCCGCGAGTGGTGCCAGGGCGGCTCCTCCGCGGGGCTCTCGGCAGC